TCATTAAGTACCGCCGCCGAAGAAGTAGTTGGATTTCAGCGAGCCCGAAAGAACAACTGGTACGATGAGGAATGTCAAGAAGCCGCAGAGAAAAAAGATGCCGCCTACAGGGCCACGCTGCGATCGGGCGCAACGCGAGCCATGTGGGACCGTTATAGGGAACTGAAGAAGGAAGCGAGACGTATTTGCCGCAATAAGCTCCAGCAGCATCGTTGTTTTTCAGCCGCGTAATCGCTATTCGTACCTCGTCATAGTAAGGTGGCGGGACAGCTAGTCCACCATCATCGACTGGGGACTCGGGTTCGTCTTCTTCACTACTTTCACCGCTTCTACCATTCAGTGGGTTGTAAAATGTTCCCTCCACAATTTCTGTATATTCTGGACATCGGTCACTAGGTCGCCATTGTTGTTCTTACAGGAGTTTGGCCCGGTCCTGAAACCTTCCGTAAGTCGCCTAACCTTCTGGTAGAATTTTCGGGCGTTCTTTCTTTCGGCCAGCATCTTAAGCTCTTCTCACTCACGAATTTCGGCCTATCCCTTCTTATTGCGGCAAACACGTCTCGCTTCCTTCTTCAGTTCTCTATAACGGTCCCACTTGGCTCGCGTTGCGCCCGATCGCAGCGTAGCCTTAAGACGCCGTCGCGTATGTCGGATTGTTGAAGATTGCTANCTTCGGCGGCGGTACTTAATGATCGGGAAATGTGGTTCCACTGCTCGCGTACGTCGGATTGTTGAAGAGTGCTCTCAGAGAGCAGGTGTGTGAGTCGAGTGGCGAATAAATTGGCCGTCTGTTGTGATTGCAGCTTTTCGACGTTAAGCTTTCCTTGCATTGTTGGGCGCACATTTTTTGCTGCACAGAGGCGGGCCCGCATCTTGGCTACAACAAGATAGTGGTCCGAGTCGATGTGTGGCCCTCGGAGTGTACGTACGTCTAAAACGCTGGAAGTATGCCTTCCGTCTATCACAGCATGATTGATTTGGTTTCTCGTTTTTCGATCTGGAGACAGTGATGTAGCTTGGTGGGTATTCTTACGCTGGAACCTAGTACTACATATTACCATGTTTCGGGCCCCGACCAAGTCGATCAGCCTCAGTCCGTTATCGGACATTTCGTCGTGAAGGCTGAATTTTCCGACAGTGGCGCCAAAGATTCCTACCTTGCCCACTTTGGCATTAAACTCCCCAAGCACGATTTTGTCATCGTGCGGGGGCATCGCTTTTATGTACGTTCCAAGCGCTCACAGAAGAGATCCTTGGATGCCTCATCCTTCTCTTCCGTCGGGGCATGGGCGCAGATGAGCGAGATATTGAAGAATCTAGCTTTGATGCGGATTGTGGCTAGACGTTCGTCCACATTTTAATTAGAATCTACAAAAAAAATTTAATTTTAGTATAATAAAGTGCAAGATTGAAGTTGCTAATAATTGCGTTGAGTTTTGGCAATTTTTTTCCTTCCATATAAAGATATTTTTCGACCATATTTTGAGAGATTTATGCAACCTTGCGGAGTGCTGCCAGGTTTTCTTTTTATCACATCACGATGTAGCGAACAAATGTGGCACTTTCCATAAACCGCTACTTGGGATTTGCCGGTTTAGACAATTCTAAAGTAAAAGTGAACAACGCCTTAGAAACTTTAGATGCACTGAAATTTGCTAATACTTTCACAAAAATCGCCGTTTTTTACCATTTTCGCTATTAATTCATTTTACAAATCATATATTTTGCAATTTAATACAATAAAACCACGTTTCCTGACGAAAAGTTGATTATTGAGAAAATTTACTATTTTACAGTTTATTTTATCCTGCCATTCGGCTTCATTTTGAGTGTTTAGTGTTGGACAATTTTGGCTCTTAAAATTAAGAAAACTATTACCACGTTTATGTCATGCTTCAATTCGGTCTAAGTCAAACCATGTTATATGGACACACACATGTTAATACATTCTCTAATCGAGTTGAAACTTTTAACCGTGCCACCATAAATCACATTTTGAATGCGAGCTAAGTGTTGTTGAATCGTTTTAAGAGTGCATATAAACACGGAATTTGTCCACACGGTTATTTCGTGCAACTCTGTATAAAGTAAACCATTTAAATAGTTCTTGAAATTACATTTATGCTAAGCTTTGTTATAAAATTATTACCTAAGATAATTTTTACAAGGCTGTTTGCGCCTTTAATTACTATTTTTCAATGTTCATTATGTTCAAGAATTGACACATGTATTAACAGGGTTGCATCGGTGTTCGATCGACTCATTTGTGTTGCATATAAACACTTGCATTTCAAGCGAGCTACGCTGACACGAGTTAATTCGATTCCGCGTTTTATGCCATATAAACAAGGTATATGTCGATCAAAAATAAAACTATTCAAAAACGCGAATCTACCACATATTCGCGACCTTGTGTGGTAGATGTGGTAGATGCTCAAATAAGTGGCAGATCTACCACAATGTGGTAGAAGTCCGATCACTGGTGTGGCACCACTAATCGAATACAGTGTTGCCATAAGGTTGGTTGGAACAGCATGGTTGTGGTTATGTTACCACTAATCAAACCTTTAATGTTAACGGAAGAGACTTTGGCTTTGCAACCACACAGCTGATTGCTTTGACAGCGTTCCGAGCTACATTTGGCCAAACAAAATTATAAAATAAATCAATGCAAACTAAAGTCAGTAAGGCGAGCAAAGAAAACCTACATTGGGCCAGCACCTTTAGATTTTATTATACTTTGAAAGCAATGCTTCCGGCGGAAGCCTGAATTTAAGGGTTTCCTCTAACATATTACATATTACTAACATCAATTTAAAATAAAATTTCACCTTTAAACAATTTCTAGCTGAACCTTTTATTACTGCAGGAAATATTAGTAATGTGCAATAAAATGTTTCGCCTTAAGCATTTTTTAAGAAAAAATATTTTATATAGTAATGTTTCCTATTGCAAAAGTGTGTATTTATTAAAGTTATAATTCTTTAACTTACCGGTCATTTTTAAGAAATAAAGAGAGCACAAAATTTAGTTAAAAATATTAAATGTTGCCAGTAGGTTACAAAAACATTTTGTATTGCCTTTATTAAGGGTTAGTTGTGGGAACACTTACAAGAACTCCATTTAACGTAATGATACCAGATTGTTATTTTCGTAAACGAAAATGGAAAGATAATTCGCAGATAGAAGCGAGAATATATATTCTAATAGTCGATTTACATTTACATATCTGTGGACTTTTGACAAAACAACAAAGACCACAGATATGAGCCAGTGATAATATTATGACATATTAAATTTTCGTTACTAAGGGAAACTTTCTTTACCATATCCAACTAACAACAAACAGAGGGACTACATGTAATAATATTTATTATTTCTAATCAGTTATTTCAAATCACTGTCATTTATTTTTTGCAGCATCCGCCGATCAGCAACAGAGAAATATTGCTCATAGACAGCGAGTGGATCCACATCGTAGAACTTATGAAATGATATTGGTGGATCAAGAGATAGTAACTCTACTGGATAGTCCTGCGGACGAAGCTAGAAAAAAGTGTTTATTGATTTCTCGAATATTTCTACAGATGTACTTGCATAGGTATATTTAAAAATATGCGTTTTTTTATTTTTAGCTATTTGAACATACCTGATGAAATTGTGCAGAGTTTATGACTGGCACTTCCAGATTACTGAAGCATATTCCCAACAACATATCATCGGCATCCTGAGGACGGCTGCAATGGCAATATGCGATTAGTTTTTCTACAGCGGATAAACTTAAAGCTACGCCTCCACCGCTGGTTATATAATTAAAACCGCTATTGATATGAAACCCGTACCGCTCGCCAAGATAAATGTCGTGTTTATGATTAAAGCAACCAAGCAACTCACAAAGGTTAGGAATACTAAAAAATAAGCGAAATGACAAAAAAAGATGAATAGCGATAAGTCTTGTATAGTAGTAGCGAAAATTTCTAAAAAATTTCAGTTAATAAAGGATGGTTATTACAAAGGTCGACTTGAGCGTCCCACCCAAATGTAAAAAAACTCAGAAAAATGTGCCTTAACAAACCTCAACAGTGTATCATCGTCGGCCAAAACGAGCCAATTGATACGTTTCTCTAGTTCTGGTTCTGCATTTTCCAATCTCATATTGAGTTCGTTGATCTCTTGAAAAGCTAACTTCAAAATTTTCAATGTTTTTTCACAGTGACCAAGTTCCGTATTGGGGACACCTGTATAAGTTGTTGGAATTTCTGGATCTAAGAACAAATGATTTTAAATACCGTGTAACAGATGGTTGTTATGTACATATGTATATATATATATATATATATATATATATGTGCGTATGTATTCAATTAAAAATTGAGTATCCCACTAGAACTTGAAGGGAGACCTCCCTATTTGAGGAATAAAAAGTACTCCCCTTAACCTGATTTCTGAGCAATAAGAGAGACTTGTCGGTTTTGTACTCCTTTATTACTCGTTTAGGAGTCAAATAAGAGATCTCCTAGGCGAGCGACGAAATATTGCTCCCTGAGGCATGATTTGGGAGCATTAAACGAGATTTTCCGGTTTTTTTACTCCTATATTGTTCGCTTAGGAGAGTAATGGGATATATTCTAAGCGAACAGTTAAGTTCTGAATGAACTCCCTGATTGCTCCTTTAGGAGGTAAAAGGGATTACTCGCCCTCCTAGGACATACAATGTTAAAGGGAGTATACAAAATTACATGCTTATACACAGAAGCATAGGGAGTAATGGGGAGTATTCGTATACTCCCAAGGGAGTACTCACCGAGCAATCGTACGATGCCCCCAAGTTCTACTGGGATTGTACAAGACTCACCCATTACATCGCTGTAGTATCGAATGTGTGTTACAATCTGACCCCAGGTTGCTTTTATAATGGGCACTCGTTCATTGTGAAAGCGATTGCAAGTTTTGACGGCAAAGAAAATGTTCTGCGGCTGTACGGTCATCTGCAGAAATACAATTATACTGCATACATATGTATGTTTATGCGTTTGTTATTTTATAGTTAAAATTCATGTATTTAATACATGATATGGTGTTTATGCAGGCATTTTTGACTACGTTTCATTACATTACATGAAATTACAAACGCGCAAACGTAGTAAGTATTAGTTAATTTGTTGTGCTAAAAAATTTCGCGGCACCCCTACTCTTCAAATGTCTACCAAAACAAAAAAACACAATGCAAACTTTATGCTCCTTTTAGCTTTTACGTGAGGACTGAAATTGTTTTGATGATTTGATTATTTCCTTTAAGTTTATTGGGAGCTTTGACAATTTTACCCTGAAATTATTTGACGCTGACTTCACAAAAAGGAGAAGGTTATCAATTCGTCAGAATATTTTTTTATTAATATTTATTTATTTTTTTATGTATGTTACCGCATAACTTTGGACCACGTTAACCGATTACTATAATTCTTTTTTTTACAGGAAAGGTGTTCACACGCACACAGTGCCGCCTAAGTGAGCAAAAATCGAAAAATTCGCTATCTGCAATGTGAACTTGTTTGGTATTTTTGTAAAGACAATTTATCCACTAAAAATAATTAAACAGACATTTCCTTAAACAATTTATTATATGCCGCCAGGAAGCCACTAAATTCGACAAATTTTATACTAAGAATTTTAATAAGAGCATAACCATGCGTAAGCTCTTCACAGAAAAAATTTTCAAAAATATATCCTTTGAAATAAAATGTTGATTTGACGTTTCTTGTTTCCATATAGATAGTAGAGAATAACAAGAATGAAAATTTTGGAATTGGGGGTGTCCCTGAGGTATTCCAGAAAAACAATTTTTCTAAACAAAATTTCAAAAAATGCTAAATTTTAATGGAATAAATAAAAAATATATGTAAGAATAGGTTATTTTTTATTATTTTATTAAATAGTACGGGCTTTTAGCTTTCAAAAGAAGAAATAAAAACCTGCTCATTTTTTGCACTTTCTGAAGTAATGCATTTTTCGTTAATGCATAAAATTATTTTTTCATTTTTTGTCAGTGTCTTGAGATCTGCACGATTCGTTCCATTTTCCAAAATGAAGTGTCAGATTAAAAAGCTTGACCTGTGGACAATAGAAGGTTTATTTTTTTTAAAGAGTTGCCACCTGTTAAAAAATTAGATTGTTAAAAAATTAGATTCAAATTTTTTTATAAGTTAAGTGAATTATTAAGAGATGGGTATCAATCGAAATGTGTATTATCTACATGCTACCTGTTTAAAAAATCAAATTCCACTTGAATTAATTAATTAGGTAATTGAAATAGATAGGTATCACCATAAGGGAGTCAGACGAAAGAGGTTTAAGAAGGTTTTAGCATAAAAATATTACGAATAGGGCTTCCACCTGTTTGTAAAGTCGAATTTAGTGAAACTAAAATAATAATTACGTCAAACCATAGGTTTACGCCATCGTAATTGTTATTTTATAGCAAAATTTTATTTTATAACAAATACATACATTGTCAATCAGTGATTACATTCCTTTTACATTACTGGACTCTTAAATTAACTCAGGAATGTTTTTACTCTTCACTTATTTCTTTCTAAATATGTCAAAATTTTTCATTTTTCTGATACTCATATTGATATACATATTTCAATTACCTTATTCCCTTAATTAAAGTGAATTTGATATTTTAAACATGTGGGAACCCTTCTACGTGTCGTTTAGAAGTAAAGTGTTTTCAAAACTAGTTCAATTCATACCCATATTGCAATATCTAATTCATTTGACTTATTAAATAATTTTAATAAAATTTGTAACAGGTGGCAACCCTTTTCAAAAATAAAAATAAAACTTTATTGCACCTCTACAGGCCAAGCCTTGTCATTTAACACCTCAGGTTTGAAAATAGAACGAACTATATGTACATACCTATGTAAAAGCCACAAGAACCCAAATTTTCAACTTCAAACTGCATTTACAGTGAAATTATGAAAGTTATCGAAAAACAAATTGCAGTTCTGAATTTAGCGTGCACAATTTTACTAAGAAGCGAATTTTCCTTTTAATCCGTCCATAATTCTATTTTTGCTCACATTTTATATGGAAGGGAAGCACTGTGAGGCGGTCCCATTCTAATTTCGTTTAAATCCGAACATTGGATTATGAAGAGATAACCGATAATCTTAAATTTGTATATGAGAATTGAAGTCGGTTTTGCTTTTTGCTTAAACATTATTTGGTTATGTAAGCATTTGTTGAAAATGCAGTCTCATATAGAAATGTAAAAGTAAAAGTCACTAGTATTTTTAATAATTCATAGCCAATTTCACGGAAGCAATTCAAGTGAAAAATGATTTTAAATTTTGGAATTTTATATGGAAATTGACAGAAAATAAAAAAAATCATTTTCCTTTCAAATTGCTGGTGAAACCGGCTGTTATCAATTTTCTTGGCGTTAACTTCGAAGTTACATACGTTTTTCTGATTTACTTTGTTTACTTATGGGGTTTTCATTCAAATTGCTAGAAATTCTAAAATATACATGTCACCAATAAAAAAAATCTCGACGTCCTAAAAAAAATGTAAAAGATGCATTTTAATTATCTCCGCAGCGTCATCCAATACTGGTTTTAAATCTAGTGACGGCATCTTCCTAGTCACCAAGGAATACCGACGGATCATACAGTGACTTCTCATGGCGTTTTCTGCCTCTTGCTTCATCCTAGATATCGCTCCTTTCGTTTTTCCAAATACTGCAAATATCCGCACACTTGCTCCATTTAAAACCATTTTTCTGTACAAATTTGTCGATAGCTTCAAAAATTTCGTCACTAGTGGTGTAAGTCTCAAGTACTTCACTCATCAAAAGTTCTTCTTCGATTTGCATTCCGAATGGGTACCTCACTAACACGAGAAACATTAAGTCCCACTACGTCGGTACCAAGGCGAATTTATACAAGGTGGTGTTGTATGATCAGCTGTGATTTCTGCGCCTTACATGTATTTTGTTTTTGCTTTTACTGATTTGACAACACACTCATCAAATGCAAAAACAAAACGCGAATTGAGATTTGACATAACACCCGCAATATAAAATACATGTGGTTGTTGATGTTGTAATCTAAATTCGCCAGTAACACTACCTTGTATAAATTCGCCTTGGTCGGTACTTTCGGCAAGTTGCAAAGAAAAAAATTCACAAGTTTTCAAACTTTTTATAAGTTCGTTCTCGACTGCCTCTAAAATCGTGTTAATTCGCTCTTTCACAGTGTGATTGTGAAGTTCCAAAGAATAAGTAACATATACAAGTGCGCGAAGCCGCTGCGCTTCTCACGAGAACATCCCAGCCAGCTAAAAATCCGAAAATTAATCCAAAAACGGGAAGAAAAGTGGATGAAATGAGGATTAGCTCTACGAAAGTACCGAAAATGGTTGTGAAAAGGGTACGTTTTTAGGAATTTTTCTGAAAATTTTCTGATACAATTTTTCGTTGACAAAACGTACTGGGGAACTACATACATATGCTTAAGAGCGAAATGAGCTGCTGAAGGTAATTTTAATAAAAATCAAAATTGTTTGTTTTTCTGGCCGCCATGTTGAAGTTTGATCAAACCGTTGCATTGTGTATGGAAAGTTTAAAGAATTTGCCCGCACCACTAGTATACTCTAGCCATTAGCGGCACCCCAGGCATACGCTTGCCGTGGCACCCACTTTGGGAAGGCCTGTTCTAAGCCATCACGAATCAATATGACTAGTCGCCACTGGCTACGATATTATAGCATAATTGAGAATCTACTATTGCACCGCGGCGAAATTCGAACTAAATGGGATGTATGTACGTATGTAATTTTGGATTTTCCTTTTATAACCATCTTATATGTACATATGTATGTATGTACAGCGTGGCGACGAATAACTGTTACCCTGGTTTTTTAGAGAAATAATAGGGTCCTTTATAGATTTTGCGAAAAAAGTACATATTATTAATTTTCCACAGATTCTACTTTAGTTGTGTTATTTAGTTTTTAAATTTTAATCCCTATTTACATTTGCCAGCAGTGTAAACTTTGAAAGAAAAGTTTATTTGGCACGCAGATATTCGTCAATTAGTCAAATCTGTGGAAAATTAGCAATAAAATACTTTTTTCGTAAAATCTATAAAGGACCCTTTTATTTCTCAAAAAAATCTGGGTAAAAGTTTTCGTCGCCACGCTGTATATTATGGTGCTCATCTATTTTTTTTTTGACATTTCAAAATCCTACCCCCTAATTTCCGTTCTTTTTATGAGAAATATTGCCTATTTTTATAGATTTTTCAAAACTCATTTAGAGGTCGCGACCTATCATTTTAGGTCAGAAAGTACGGTTTTGTAGATTTAACAGTTTTTGAATGACTAGTTTTCATTCAATTTTAAAGATCGAACAAGTTGTGAGAAGAGGCCTTTAAAATGGTGTATAATAAAATATTGTCAGACTTGAATTGATGGGAGTTTTCATCGGGCATTTTAATTTTCAATAAACCTCATTTGTTGCAATCGTATAAAAATTGTCGAAGTTAGGGACTTCTCTTAAACCGCCCACTTAAATGATATATGCATATACGGTTGCTAGGTGTGCTGATTTTATCAGTACAGTACTGATTTTTCAACTCTTGTACTGATTTTATTTATTTTTCAATCGGTACGCTAATGTCCTGATTCTTCAGAATTTTTACTGATTTGTACTAATTTTTAATTCAAACAGAATACTTTAAGATTTTCTTAAGGTTTTTACATAACTTTGGAGCTTCCTTAAACTGTACTGTAGAAAGTAAGAAGAAAATGATTTAATTATAATAATTTAATACAACAAAAACATCAACCGTTTTACGGGCATATTGTCGGGTCGTTACGAACCAGTTGCGATAATATGATGGAGCTTAAATTATTCAAAAAGAAGGCTGACTTTGTTTGTCGTGTGTTGTTAGTTATCTCGAAAATAACTTTCAGTTTA